AGGAAATGTCATACCAATTTGTAGTGTTGTATTTGATAGAGCAGGTTTGTTATAAAAATAGGTAATATTAGACGAAACGAATAAAATTTATTAGATCAAAGCTTATTTTTTCTCTCATTTATAATTACGTATTTACAATCAATGATTACATTTCTTATGCAACATACTTAATAACGATTTTGGGCCCTTATATGTAATATTTTTTAAATATCAGGCCCTTATATGAAATTATTTTCAATTTGGGCCCTTATTTGTAATTATTTCATTTTTTGGGCCCCTATATGTAAATTCCCTTAATAAATATCGTATTACTACGTATAGTTCTTATTGCATTTCATATTTGTTATATTGTTAAATTTAATGTTTTTATTAATTATAATTTTAAGAAAATTTTTACATAATTTTTTATATCACATAATTTATTTCCAATATTTACAATCTCAATACCATTCACTTTTTAACATTCATCCCACATTTACAGGTCAGTTTCGCATTCTCAATACCATCCAATGCTGTGTATTCTAAGATCACAATTAGTTTGAATGTTGCCAAGACAAACTATTAATTGTGTAAAAAAAATTAATAGTATGTGCAATTAACACAGAAAATTAAAGTTAATACGAGAATTCTATCACAAAACATAATGAAATTTAAATAGGAAAGAGGAAGGGTTAAAATACCTTCAGAATTTTGAAAACTGTCTCGTTTAATTGGGGCACACATCCGACCGGTTTTCTAAATCAAGCAAAGTAATAAGTACAAAGTTAGAATCTTTGTTTTCTCTTTGCAGCATATACTAAAAATTAACGTAATAAGTACTCTAATGTGATGATCTCGACATACGAAGAATTTCTATACTTTACGATTTATTATATATTATTTGATCAGCCAATAGGAATTCATGAAAGTCACAAAATGATCTACAAAAAATTGGCCAATTATAATGAAAGCCCGCTATGCTACATCACATATGGTTAGAGTTAAGCATTTGATTAGTTGCCGGTATATATTTTTACTAAATTTCACCTGGTGTGATACCGGCTAAATAAACTGTTGGTGAAATAATATGAACCTGTTGAAATTATCATGTTTTTCAGATTACTGTGATCATCAAATTTCATGTGTCAAACAAACGTGAGAATCTGGGAATATAAATTTTAATGTAAATATAACAAATTCTAAAAAAATTATAGTGATTTTCACACTAAAATCTTCAAAAAATTTCTTGCCTATAAATAAATTTTCAAAATTTTTCTTTTATTTACACTTTCCTGACCCTGCACCTAGTAATACACAGGAACTGCTATTGATATAGCCAAATAACGATGGGAATCTTAAATTTTTTTCGAATCAAAATAAATAAAAATTGAAGAATGCCAGATTGTTTTTTTTACTACATAAAAAAATCGGATAAAAGCATCCTGAAATTACATTAAATAGTACTGTATAAGATTCAGTTTTTCATTATTTATTTGTTTAAATTATTTTTTATTTTCAATTTTATTTTATTTTATTTTTATTTTTTTTAAAAAAATGCTTTTTGAAATTATAAGAATTCAAATTACAATAAATTAAAATGCAATATACGAATTATTATTATACTTTTCAAATTGCTGTGACTACGCATAACGCAGAAATCTGCAAAACTTCTTTAAATTTACTATTGATTTTATGAATTGCACTTAAGATAAAATGCTAATTTTTTACGATAGTGTATTGGGGTGTTGTACATCATATGATTTAATATCATAGTGCAGCGCTATATGTAATTTACACTATGTAAGATTTTTAAATTTTTGTTGATC